CGGAAGTGCCAGACTCTCCTCCAGTCTCCCAGCTGGAAGTTCTGCTTCTAAAGCAGCCACCCTCCCGTGTCCAGTGTCGCCGCCGCATCCCGCCAGCAGGGTGTCTGTGTGCTCATGGCCGCAGGGCGTGGGCCCAGCCGGCAGCCTCAGCCTCTGCTGGGGGCCTGGGGGCCCGAGGGCCCGAGTCCCTCCGTGGGCCCGAGCATCCGGCAGCACGGCTCCAGATGTCTCCAGGATTTGCTCCGTGCCTTTTCTACCCAGAGCCCTGGCAGGCCACGAGCCCCCTCGGCCGCAGTGGTGGGGGGGGAGGCTTTCCTCTGCTGTGTGCCCTCCCCCTGCAGCCAGGGAGCAGTTCCACGCCCCAGAGCAGCCGGTGTGGACTTGAGCTGCTCCCACCTTGAACTCTGCGTCTCCCGCCTGTCTTCCCAGCCAGGCTGAACATTAACTCACTGGGTCCGCTTGTCAGCAGTGCATGGGGGCACTTCCTGGTCACCTCCTCTGGGGCAGCTGTGACCCCCAGGGGCCTGAGGACTCGCCCCAGCATCCCCGAACAGAGCAGACTAGGGACGCGACCACGCTCTCGGGGGCTTGCGGTCCCACGGGTGACAGCACCCAGGCACTGAGCTGGGGCAGAGGACATCAGATGCCCCCCTCCTCAGGCTGGCCGGTGGCCGGGAAGTCCTCTCCACGCGGGAGACTGATGCGTTGACAAATGCCCTGGACAGAGGCCCAGGCACCCTCAGGAGCCCGACTGGGAAGGGCACAGGGCAGGGGTGGTGGGCTCCGCCTCCGTTCTCCTATTCTATTTTGCGCTGTTTCTAAACCGGAGAGTCCGCACACTCAGAATGACAGAGGGAGATCGTGCCCCGGTGGGCACGGCCACCTGGCGGTCCCTTCTCCATTTATAACCCATCAGGGTCCCGGGCACACGTGCACACATGTCCAGTGTATTTTTCAAGCTGCCAGAGATAGGATTTGAACCAAGCGGTTGGTCATGTGGGATCTGGCTCCCTTACCCACTAGGCCACAGGACAGCCCCAGCTTCCATCTTAGCAATGGGGGTTTTCAGCAGG